TTCTCTTTGCCTTTGTGAAAAATGTCAACGTTCCGCCATTGTGGCGAAATTCAATTCAACTTCAGGTTTTAATGTTGCGTATCGCTTCATTTACGAAGCCACTTCAAAATTGAGGTGATTTATTTCCTAGGGGATTTCAAGAGGACACACCTCTGTCAGTTTCGCTGAAAGGAGAAATCGTCGTACAAAAAGGCTAGCACTGCCAAATCTAGGAAAGCATCATTTTTGACAAAACATATGTATTCTCTACGTGAGAATAGAGTCGAGCCGTTGCAGGGTCCGCTGTTCTCGGCAGCCGTCTCCATTTCATTCTATCTACGGCATCTTCTGAAGTTACCTTGGCTTCGGCAAAGTCCTTCTTGATCACGTCTCGCCATCTCTTCTTTGGGGCTCCTCGTGGCCGTTTACCTTGAGCCTCGAACTCCATTGCCTCCCTTATCGGATGGCTCTGTGGTCTTCTTAGTGCATGCTCGAACCATCGCAGGCACTGCTCTCTCATCTTCAGTTGAACCAATTGAAATGTTGGTGTTAGGAAAGTCCCGTCTATATGTGACAAGCTCTTTTCCTGTGCAGTTTTTGAAAAAAATTTTCTACTCCTACGAATTATGCAAGTGTATTGTCGCTGTTTACAAATAGTGAGCTATCGATATCTGCGGATGAAGTCAAGACTGAGCACAGACGACGACAACAACGGTCGCGTAAGACAGTATAGCGTAAGAGGGAAGAAGTCTCTTGCGTAAATCCATCTGTTTCTCTTTATTTTCTGGAACGTTCGATTTCCATTCAAAATCGCAGTGGCGTTTTGAAGGCGTACTTGGCCTATGCAATGAGTTGCGATGATAAACTGATGTACAGGTCAGTGCCTTCATCCTTGTGTACGAGTCGAAAATCAACTGAACGGCCCCGGAGGGGCAGATGGCTGGTTTGGGGAGGTTTGGGCAGAATCCATCCTGGATTCCGCCCCAAGACCATGGGAGTGGGATGGTGTACCATTTTCCACCACAGCACCTCCTTCAGCAAAAGTTGGTATTGTGTGAGTTATTCGTAATTGACTAGTGAGTAAAATACCATCATTTGGCTTCTCTCCTGGCTGTCTGTTTAAACCAACCGTTCAAGATTCCTGGGGTTCCCTAGGGAGGCTTGGGAAGAGAAACGTTCAGTGTTCCTGTGTAGGGCTAGTCAAAAGAGAAGTGAATAGGCAGAGAGAGAAAGGGAAAATTGCTAGCACCTTCTTCCAAACTAGCACTTTTGCAATGAGGTTTGCAAAGTGGAATGCTTCGTAAGCCACTACTTGTCAGACAAAAAGCAGTAAATACAATATACCCGTAAGAAATAATTTAAGGTAAATGAAAAATAGCAAACATTTTCATCTAATAGAACTTTTCAATAGAAGTTTTTTCAGAGACGTAGATATCTGGAAAATTTTGTGCTAATCAGAAGCTAAAGACAGCACTTCAATTAAGGCCAAGTTCAGGCTATCAGAACAAGACTGCCGTACAGCGGGATCCGGTTGTGAACTGAAACTAATTATCGCAAGCTAACAAACTTTTGATATATTAAATTCCGAGGAAAAAGTAAGAAAAATGGATTTCGGAGACAGGTTCTGTGGAACACAGGGGGCAATAAAAGTGGTGGCGGAATGTTGATTTTTCATGAATAAATAATTCAGTTTGCCGATTCAATCGTTAACAGAGCTCTGCTTGCCGTCAACTGTGCAGCTCTGAAGGGATAGACACATTGAACAAACGGTCACTGACTGGATTTTTCGGGAAGCTTCAAACAAGTGTGAAAACACTCCACCTCTGGGAAAAACCCTAATTGAGAGTAAAAGATTCAGATGTGCTCGACAGGAAGATTCAAGCTTTTGGGAGCTCTTCATGTAAAGGCTCTAAAGATGGGAAGAAATACAAGAGTTTGCGAGGTTCTGAACTTCAGAGCCAATGTTTTCCTGCTAGCGAACTACTCAGTTCACTTTCGTTCGACCAAGCAGGCTGTAAGGCAACATATGGAAACGCTAGCTGGTTTTTTTTTCGACTTTTTTTCTGTCATAAGCATGTCCCAAGCAAACTACTCTGAAAGAGGACATGCCATTGAACTCGATTCGATGTATTTTGATCTTCATCATGGTCACTAGGTATCTCAGGGTAGGGGGAGGGGAGAAGTAGATAGAAAAGATTCCCAAAATCAACATTTTATAGGGGTGAACAGCGTGCAGTGAGCATAGCAAGTGGCACCAATAGGTGTGGCATACTTGTACATAGTTTAGAGAAAAAGTCCAAGGCAAGGCGAATTCGTGTCCAGTTCTAACAGTCCTTCCAGTACACCTTAGATGTTCACGAACGTTTGAATATATTCCCTTGCTGAACAAATATTGAAAAATTCCATGCGCATTCATGAACTACGAACGAAGATGAGATGCACCCTGTGACATCATCAAAACGCCCAGGATAACAGCGGAACCAACGGCCTCAAGTGTATAAGGAGGAAGGTGGATTGTTATCGGGCAAGTAATTCCAACCATAAGCAGGGTGAATCAGCATGATGTCCTGGGTAAAAGGGAAATTCCCTGGTGAGTATATGGAGAATATATGACTTCTGTCTTTGACAGTGATTCAGTGGATAATATTTATATCTTCTATTTCCGATTTGTGTCGACAGCGGTTCAGCGGACAATAGGTTAGGTTGCTGCGTAATTATTGCGTATTTTTGAGCAAATTTTACTTGGAGAAACGATGAAAATGCTTAGCAAAGTTATTTTCAAACAATTGCTCCGGAACACATCCTTAATCTACGTCAAGCCCTGTTCTCATTTGCTTGGCAATAGAATTCTATGGGATAAGAATTTCGATTCTTGAGGGCTATCCACGCTCGACAGACGTCGGGAACAAATCATCTATTTCGTCGAAGTTCTGTGCGCTAGTCAACTTTTCAACGATTGACTCGATAATTCATAGGAGTTCCTGTTGGTGAACAGGGCGATCGTAGAAGCAGCTTACATTATTTATTCGGCTTTGGCTGATTGTTCCATCGATAAGGAGTTCGTTGAGCTCACTTTATGACTGTGTCACCTTCCAACTTTTCTCGAAGTAATGGGGCATCATGTAACGTATATGAATACGACTTTCTGGACATAGTTCTGTTGAGGAATGGAAGAAGATCCTTTCCATCGAACTCCAAATTCACTATTCAAATTGTATCGACTGAAAAGAAGCCGCGAAAAAATCCGCAATAATTATGCATCAACCTATTATTATTATTTATGTAGTACAACAATAGACAGAACAATACAGCAAATCAGGAGGAATATGTTGGCAGAATTGACTTGAAGAAGAAGATATCATAGATCTCTGAATGGCCTATTTATACCTCCTGGGCCAAAGACCAAAGTACAAAACATCATTCCCGACAGATCTCACTCATGACTCGAGATCTACGATTTTGATCTCGCGAACTGGTCTCGCGAACTAAACCTCCCATCTATGAGGATACAGATCGAAGCGAGATGAGACTTCCTCTCTAAGAAATGTATACTCAAGGGACAGTGACAGTTTCTAAGAACGTATTGAATACGACCCTCTCATACCGGGACAGACAACGCTGGGCTTTGCTTGTATGTAAGCTCGAACGTCATTAATACAAAGTAGCTTAGAGTGGGCGGAACTGAACAAAGTGAAAGAAAAGTGGAAAATTGTGAAGGGTAGCAATGACTGTGTGGGTAAATTGGTGCTAGTAGATGATCGTATGAATCGACAATGGGCGACCACAATCGAAGACTAGTCTTTACTACGCGAACGGTGCATTAAAAGTGGCTACGTCGAGGAAATTGAGAAGGACTGAGTCACAGTAAAGGACAAATCAATAGAGAAAAATAGATGTCTGAGATGTGTGCTAGAAACGGGGCAACAGTGTTTTGGATAGAGTGTAGGACTTGCATGGGTGAAGGTGAAGGGTCCATGTGGTGGTACTATCGGATTCAGCCTCTCCGAAGGAAACTTTGACTGATGTGGTTGAATAGTGCTCAATTTAACAACATATGGCACTGTGGACAACTGCAAAAGCTCTTTGTATCCTGTACAGCTCCTTTACTGTGAGATTTCTTGTTCAAGAAGTATCAGGGAAAGAGTAAGAACTCATGGTAAGTATGACATAGCTTCCAAGATGACATTTTGCTTTCATTCAGAATATTTCAAAATTTCTTAAATAACGCAATAACGCATAGAGTAATCCGTAAGATTTGGCTTTTTTGAAAATCAGCCTTTTATCCCAGTTCAACGGGCTTCCACCTTAGCCTCTCGTGCTGATGAAAGGCGACAACCTAGCTTTTAATGGTATGACCACTTCTCAGGCATGGAGAGAAACAGTGTTTGTAAGGCAGGGTTTGCTCTAGACGTGCAGGAGAAAGGCGTAAGGATCGTTTGAAGTAGCGCTAACTGGATACATTGTGTGAGGGCTCGAGGTTACTTAACCTCCATCCCTATCAAACATTCAATCGGAACAGTAGCATCAATACAGTAGAGGAGCGGACTACTATTACGACGATTTTCACCCAAGAAGAACAGTAATTGGCTAGCATGGACGAGATTTGATCCCATAAATGACAATGAAGCCACTTCCAGGTTCACGAGGTCCCTGCGCTTGGGTGGTTTCTCAAACCGTTAGTCATTCATGCATAGTCAATTGTTCTGATATATTGAGAGGAAGTTTCATTATCAAACATATTTCAGCGACATAAATCGAAAAAACATCTTCAAAATTCATCAGGGCGTTTCTCATTGTATTAGTCATCGTCTTGCGCCCCAACAAATAACATCAAGTCAACCCATAGTGTTATGAACTGTCTAATCATCATCAAAATCTGTCGGGAAATTACTAAATAAACATGAAATCACAAACAGCAAGAACAACATGAAAATTGTAGCATTACAAGTAAAATTCTACCATTTCAAACTAAAATTTACAAAGTGCCAACAAAAAGGGATAAAATGTATTTAGAAAGTTCATCAGTAGATTTCGTGAAGCCGTTCTCGTTCCAGTAGTTCTTGTTCTCGTTTTTCATGTTCATACTGAAAATCCCATCTTATGTTTATTTATTTATTTATATCTATGTATATATTTATTCATATCAGTGTCCACTAGGGAAGCCTTTCAACTCGCCAAAAACTTTGGCAAATTGATGGGTTATGCTTCGTGGAAATGTGCACCTGTGACTGAAACTCGGTATCCCGTTGAACACAGCAAAGGGGACGATAGGTGATACAGACAATACTTTCCATGGAGATATGGGCAAAAGGAGCAAACACATCTTGCCAATCCACTTACCTTACTGAGAAAATTGAATTCGCATTGTGCATAGTAGTTGATGTCGCCATGAAAAGTGTCCGGATCATCAACTTGATTCAGTATTCGAATTTGCAGAATCAAGCCTTAATTAGGTGGTAGAAACCGGACGTGAGCATGATTACTAAGGTATTGGGTATATTATAGGATAAGGTATTGGGGCGTTAAAATGGGAAAAAGTCTTGGGGCGCCTATCAATACCGTCACAGGGACGCGCCCATGCAATCGACTTCTTTCATAATCATAGTGGCGTATGTGGCCTATACAATGATTTGCGGTGGCCGGCTGATGTACAAGTCAGTGCCTTTATCCTCTCCACAGGTCTGGCACCAGATAGCCGTCTCCGGAGGGATAGAAGGCTTGGTTGGCCTAGGAATCGCCAATTGTGTTGTACCCATTGACTCATTTCACTACTGTCCGATTGAAAATCAGCCGATCGCCGATCTGCCTGCCCAGGCTGATACTCTCAAACTAATAATAACGTACCTGTCATGAGACCCCCAACGACTGCTGTTGCCAGGGTCACGCCCATACCGGCCAATTGGTAAACAGCTTGGATTTCACGATTTCTTTCACCATTCATTGGACCACCTTCGAAATGCGGGTAGATATGGTAGAGCCTTAAAAATTAGAAAATTTTGCAATTAGGAACTCTGCAGGAGAATAAAAAAATGACGACGAACTGACGTTTTCCCGTAACTTTCCGGCTCGTATCCCAGAGCGAAAATTATGCTGAAAATCTGAAAAGAATAACTTGAATTGTAAAACTGATAACTGACAGAAGTCAAACGTCTTCTTCGTGGCCTAATCTCGAGGATTTTCACAAGTTTAGAATCCACGAACCCCTGCGAGTATTCCAGGTATTCCATGAAGGTTGTGTACGCCACAGGTGTCATACAGCTTGAATCGTTTCTCCAGTTTCGGCTGAAAAGTATAAACTGTATCTAAATGACATTACAAAATGTTCAGATAGAAACTCACACTTAGCCAAGCATGGCCGATTACGGAGACGAAACTAGCGCATATACCGACGGCAACGGCATGGGACGGATATAGCACAGCGTTTGCTGCAGAGCCTAAACCAACAGACGAAGTTATGTTTTGGGCGACCTCTTCAGCATGCAGAATTACTGGTATTTCGCGAAGCCATCGCTAGATTTAATTCTTCCTAATCTTATAAGACCGATATGGCTTCTGTGGGTAACATAATCAATCTAAGGGAACTTATGGCTGTACCGATAGCGACTCCTCCTGATAGTGTCGAACTCTGAATGTGGATCATATTGAAACGACCAAGATTGTCGACCAAAGAACTGAGTATAAACGTCGTCACGGTGCCGCTAGCCATCGCCAAGTAGGTGTTCATTATTGCCCGATGACGTGCGTCCTCTGTGAAAGGCAACTTTTTTCAAAATAATGTAAACTAGTTGCCAACAAGAATGACTGCTCAGTATTATTCCTTAATGGACGAATTCTGAAGTCATTTTGAGAAATACTCAAATTCAACCGAATCAACTTCAAAAGGAGCTCACTCAGGGTACCTGTTTAAAAGACTGAGCGAAGACGCTTACGTAAAGAGTGAACCTGCGATACTCATGGACGGATTTTTAGAGAACATTTTTTGGAGACTCCTCTCCGAGATGGATTCCCAGATTGATAAACAAGGTTGGAGCTGGAGTCAGCAAAAGTCAAAGGGTATTTAATAATTTCAAGACCAAAAGCTCGATCCGTCCATTGGTTTGCCGCCCATGTGAAAGGCATCGTGCCCCGGTTGTATGGCAGCAAGGTTACAAGAGATATCCTGGTTGCTCAGTATGTATACGTTACGCTCACTACTATAGCTCCTGCCGCAGCGAGGTTTTTTCCTTTGAAATTTGATGAAATTAGTTAAATTTCGAGTGAATCCAGTCCACCAAAGAAAAAGAAGAGGCGAAAAATAATTTTTTATAGATCTAGTGAAAAATATAGAGTATAAATGACTCCATCGAACAAAAAACCGCTCGACAAAAGTAATGATTACTGGAAAGTCCGGTCGCAGGAGAAGAGTTGGAGTTTAAGGTCGTCTATTACATATAAAAGTATATATAGACTCTAAAAATGCTTCGTAATGATGGTTTCATTGACATCACTGCTTCTCAGTTTCGTAGTGGAGCCGACTTACCTGGTTCCTGAACAGCAGCATTGAAAGAAGGGAAGAATACCCAGAGAAGAAGCGTCCCTGCAACAGTTACAGACTCGAATTTCAGAAGTTTCGGGAAGAACAAGATGCCCACATACCGATCATTGAAAAAAGATCTGAATGGTGTATGGAGCCCTGCTCGTCCATCTCCATCACATTTTTCTTCTTTCCTACCAGTGCTGCCGCTAAACCAAAGTACGCCCCGAAAGCATGTACGACAAGGGACCGACCACCATCGTTCACCTATAAAGTAGTCATAGTAATTATGCACCAAGTTATTTTCCCATCTATGTAGAGGACGAAAAACTTGCGTGAAGGATATTGAAGACGATATGATCGACCAAAACTGAGAAACTGGTTTCAAAAAACGCCAACAGCAGGAATTGAACTGGAGTCATACGGCCCAGGAGCACTCCCATTGTTATCAGTACCACTGCACATGAATTATCTGCGCACATCATTCTGAAAGAAAAGTTTTCANCGTATGATGAAGCTTATGGGGCTGATGCTGACCCTAGCCAGTGATTTGGCCTTCAGCCCAGCTATTGCCTCAAAAGACCCCGGTGAAAACCTGGCTGGCCTGTGAGGGGACAGAATTAGGAAGTCTGACGCTTCATAGCCAGAGTGCTAGTAATTCCTTGACCCTACAACGGACTCGGTACATGTGCAAAACGCCACTACGGTTTCGGTAGGGAGCCAATGCGGACTTCATCCAAAAACGGTTCCGTTTGACAACAAAAATCTTGATTCTTCACCAATCAAGACTGTAATTCTCATAAATAATCTTAGCAAACGTGTGCCCGTGAGCTCTGATTGAATACCTCTCTCATAATCTGAAAGGTGACCTGAAATTTTATTTGGTATCAACTCACTCGGGAACTCCAAGGGTGAATGTGCCCGTTTCTTGAAATTGTTTCGACAAAAATCCTCGTAGAAGCATTGCCCATTGGATAACAAACGCTGATAGCAACAGATTCACAGACACTGCGGAGAAACCATATCTCTAAATTACAAAAGATATTAAAAAAAAGACTGTAGTTAAATAAAAAGGAACAATGATGTGTTAATCTGGTTTCATCCGTTATTCATTTAAAAATGACTGAATTTAAAATTTTAATCAGCAATGAAGCGCAGTTAAGGAAGGAATTGGGTGCAACCTCTTTCTCGGGGAAGAGTCAGGAATGGAACGTCCCGGGATAGAAAGCTTTTTGGCAGAAAACAGGGACGGACGAGTTGCCAAAGGTCTGCCTGGGACTTCTGCTCCTATCAAAGCGCCGACAATATTTTTTTGAATTATTTACATTATCTAAACGGAATCGAGGTTTGGTCCGCAGCCGTCAGACTGGGTTACAGCTATCCAATAGATGCCCTGCTCAACTTCGATGGTAGCTGAAGAGCAGCTGCTAACCGACTTAGCACCGCTGCCGATGGAGAACCGTTGGACACATATCCTAGATGTTAGCTGATTGGGCCCAGGGGTTCCTGATACGTTTTGGCCTGAATGCAAGGTCAGCACGATGACTTTGGTAGTGAAGAACTTGTCAAGGCGCTTTCCCCAGCTGTCGAAACACTGCAAACATTGCAGCCCCTTCGCTACAAGCACAAAGAAGAGCCATTTTCTGGAGTATAACATCGATTCTTATACTTGTTTGCTTACTGCCAAGCCATCTTGCGCCATTTCCAATCTCTACAACTCTCATAGTTAGGAACGACTTTAAGCTTTCGGCGTTTCGTCCATAGCCGTCAGTGCGGCCTACCCCAGACGTTAGGGGTACAGCAACATTACCGTGCCTATTCCAGAATTGCATTAGGTTTTTGCAATTGATCACATAATCAATCATTACACTCTGACTACAGGACTTCGGTGGTAATCATAATTTCTACTTGACCATTAAAAAGTGCTCCTTTGGACTAGTTCTATGCTGAATTTTCCTTGATAGACATTACGAATATGGGAGAGAGACCAGGTAAAGCAAAAATGGCCTACGTAGTTGACTTATGTACTTTATTTGCCTTAGAATGTATCTTGCATTTAGCTTGTGTAATATTTACGGAGTTAAAGTTCAATGAAGTCATTTAGCACTCCCCGACATCCTTGAAATTGAACAAAGCGACAATGAAAAACTGCCAGTCTGGTTTGCCTGTTGGGTTTGGGAGACACTGCGACTTCCATTGCCCACTACGTCAGGTCACAAGATGCATGATCAGAAAAAAGTGAGAGAATTCTCCAAAAAAAAAGTAATAACTGTCCACCGAAGAAAATGCTCCCACCTTCAGAAATGCCATGAGAAAACCAAATCCGACGAAAATCATCAGATGCACGTCCTGGAACACTAAATTATTTTTATTTATTTTCCACTATAAACTGTATAAATAATGAAGTACTTTGATCTGAATTGTCAATTACAAGCCAGTGAGTAGGCGTACTTTTAAGCCTACTGGGATAGGATTTCATAATTAAAGCCAGTTTCATAGCACAGCTACAAGATAGCGTCTTGACCTTTTCATGGCAAGACCTTCGATCTGGTTGAAGTGGTTTTGAAAAGGGTATGGGATGAAGTCTACGGGGGGTAGATCAATCCTGTCTAAAGAACGCGTCCTGCATTTGAGTTCCATTCAGAATCGTAGTGGCGTAATGAGTGCGTACGTAGCTTATACAAAGACCTGCGGTTGTTAATCAATGGACAAATGAGTGCTTTTATCCTCCCAGACAGGTCTGGCACCAACTAACCAAACCCGCAGGGATGGAAGGCTTGGTTGGCCTAGGCGAATATCGATCGGGATTCGAACCCGTGACCATGAACCGTGAAAGAGTGCGCCACTTGCCACCACACCATCTCTTGCTTCTGCGATGTGAATGGGCGGAAAAGGTTTAAGTCTTGTATTGGAATAATATGACACAACGTTTACGAATGCTTATTTATTATTATTTTATTATTTTTGATTTTTTGGCGAACAAAAAAGTAGACCCGATTTTTTTGGTAATTGAAAAAAGGAGAAGTTCACTAACTAATTTAAGACTTCCGGACTTAAAGGTACTATCTAAGCAAGGTTTCAAGAGGCTACTGAATTCTTCTAGTAATATCCTTCTTTAGAAATCAATATGGGTACATGTTAAACCTCACATGGGTAATCAGTTCCACTGTAAATTCGTTTACTGTCGTCCAATGGATCGATATAGCGGCAAAACAATGAGAATAATATGAGAAATATCATTTGAAAGAATAACGCCAACAGAGAGAATTGACGTCGTTGCCAGACGCTTAGCGTTGTCGGAGGCATTTCTAAAAAAAAGAAAATGACAATGATAGGTTTCAACAACAACGGTGGTCGATATTAAAGAGAAAAACATTCAAGTGTCATTAGCATGAAAACGATTTTCTAGAACTTTCTCCAGTCATCGGGACCACAATAAGTTATTCAATAGTAAAATATAAGAAAGTAAATGTATGAACTTCTTCTTGAGATATCCTTAGAAACTAACCAGCATATTCAGTAACTGAGAGAAAAAATTAAAGTTCAGTTTAGAAAAATTGTTGAGATGACAGGCTCCCAGAAGTAAGGTCCTTAACCCTGAGATGGTGAACAATAGGTCTGCTGTACAAAAAGATACTGGAAAAAAATGTAACTGCATGCTCAACTCTAATGAGGCTACCTGTATGAGGTGATAGTTGTTGACCCAAACTAGGTCCTTGGGCGATGGCAACCCAGCCTCTGTATTGGAGCGATTAGATTTGGAGAGGTAATGTGGTAATGGATGGCAGACATAGCACGAAAAAAAAGAATTAGACCTGGAAAGGTTTCAATTCAAAAATCCCACCATTCTAGAGTATTCATTTGCAGACAGATGCTACTACGTTCTCAGTATTCTCGTCCCCCAGCTAGCAACTTATTCTTCAGTGTGACTTTTGTTATTTGCTTTTCCATTAAGTGCAAAGGATACTGGCTTCTAGACGTTGCCACATCCATTGCCTTGAAGTGGGCCTATCCTAGTAAAATATAGGGAGCTGGGAATACATGGCACTTTTAACTAGTCTTTTGTTGATGCTCGTATTCCGCGAAGTGTGGTAACTCCAGGGTTTTTTTAAACAATGAGAACGAGGTTTTCTGATATGAGACAGTATGTGGTGGCCACTCTACGCCCCTAGAAGCCTATCTTGAAGGTGTTCGAGTGAGAAATAGAAAGAAAAAACGGGTTTGGAGAAGTCACTTAACCTCCGTCCGTCACCTTTAGTGTATCAGTGACATCTAGTGATTGTATATTTTCAGATTATTTGAACTCCCCGTTCTGAAACACCTTATCTAAAAAGCTTTCTCTACAGCACAAAAACATGATAGCATCCGAGTTAAGCCTCCTTTTTCAATTGTGTCAAAGTTCATATTTAGAATTTAAAATGATGATCCCGTAGGAATGGTATTTTTGAGCTTCATAGGTAACTAAGTGCTCCATACTCCACCCCACCAGCGAAGCGGAAAGGTCTGAAAATATACAATCACACAGCGAGTGTGAGAGAAGCCATTGTCATTCCTTTGACCGGTCGTTACAGCTTAGAGAGAAACTTCGCATTATCATTTGTTGATATATCGTAGTGTATTTACTTGAATTATGACCCAAAGTTGGAGAGCATCAACTTAAACAGTAATAAGTATCGGTGGAATAGAATCCTGGAGTTAGCAATATTCCTGAGGTCCAAAATAGTATAAAGAAATTATTTTCAAAAATCAGAGCTAGACAATTGCAAAGCAAGTGAGATGCTGTGGAAATGAGTCGAATAGTATAAATGGAGCAAGATCAGATGAACTATACTGATAAGTGTGTACCACAGTACTTGTACAGGTTAAGAGAATCGATGCGTTGCGCTCCGAACCGATCGAGGCCATCAATTGTTTCCCAATCACCCACCTACAGTCATCGTGCACTTACTCACATAATGTCTCATAGCATGTGATAGACGGGCGTTGCCGCAATATTATTACAACGATTTGGAGACGTCACTTTTTATGATTTCGTGAGTGATCGGCACCCACCAGAGGAAAAAGAGGTGCGAATTTTTTTCCTCTGCTGCTTCAGGAGACCCATTTTGATGACCGTAATTTTTTTCAATTTTAAATCGATAAATGAAGAGACGAACTGAAGAGAAGGTATCGCTCACCTCTACACCTTTATTGAATCGAGTATTGAATAATTTCCCAAATGACGAGGGTCAACGTGTCCGTTCGCTTATCCTAAGCATTCCAGATAAGACAAAAGCCCTGAATGTCGATTAGCTGGCCGACCATGTGGACCATGCAGACGTTGTGCAGTAGACCAATATATAGCCCAAGAATCTGCACGAATTTGGATCGAAGTTGAATGCATGGCGCGCATCAAAAGAGCCTATTAATGGCGGGCAGTTTGACTACCACTTTAACTAACCTTGGGACATTTATCTAAGCTCTAAGGCTTGCCATGAACATATACTTGGTGATGCTGTGGCAAGCCTTCGCACTATCACACACATGGTTCTGGGATCAAAGCCCGGATGGCCCAGACCGAGCAAGCCTTCCATTCCTTCGGAGTCGATAAAGAAAGTACAAAGAGTACAAGATTCATTTGGGAGGGTAAAAGCACAGACTTTTGCATGGGCTGATTACCGAAGGGGAGATTCTATAAAGGAGAGGTTTGGACGAAATTCCGTCACCACAGAGAAAGGCATTCAAGCGAATAACTAACTACAGTACCCCTGTAGATGAAATCGGTTTTCATCTATCACCATGGGCCACGACGCCATGCCTTGGACGACCAGCACTTCACATTTTCAAATCTTGTGTATCATTGTTAATGATGCTGAATGTAGCCGAGCCTCTATTTGGACATTTAGCTCTTCTGTTTCTGACGGTGATAATCATCGCTATTGGTATGGAGGCATCTGAAACAGACCTTTTCCTCCCCACAACGCCCCATATTACCTTCTAGTGAATCCCAGAGTTGTCAGTAAGAACCTCAGTAACCTTTTCTGTTTGGAACAATGCCTTTAGGTTTTTATTTACCGAATAACAAATAGCATTACCGAAACTGTTACCTAAGTTCCTTCAACAAGTTCCGAACGGTCACAGTTCGATGTCAAACGTTAATTGATGACTGTTACAGCACAATCGGCTTGTTTGGTTAAATAATCGGAAAATATCTGGGAGCTTGAATGTGGGATAAAGCCCAGTATCAGCCCACTATTAGCAGAGGGCACAGTATCAACCCCAATGAGAAGTTGACCACTCCACGAACATCAAGATAAGGAAAATTGTATTCCTTCCTGTCTCTTCGATACAGCTTCCACCTACGAATTCTCCCCTCCGTTGGCACTCTTGATTTCTTCAGAAGTTCGACAGCTATGTAGGCTAGGAAAGGTCTGGCTGTAGAGCCACGTCGAAAACTTCAACATTTTGAAAACTCGTTCTGGAGTTTCTACCGGGAGAGAGGGACGCTACTGTACTTCTCCGGTTTTCAAGGACTGAAACACACCTAACAGTGTCGAGTAAATGCGGTTCCTTTCAATAGCTTGTGTAGGCCTTTACGGTGAGAATTCATAGTCGCACCACAACTGGAAGAGATCTTGCTAACGTTTGAAATAGGAGGATTTCTGGGCAATAATCCAAAAAATTTCGGGGCGGAGGTGGTGTAGTGACAAGTGGCGCACTATATCACGCGCACGGTCGGGGGTTCGAATCCCGGAT